TTATATTATTTTATTGAAGTGACGATAAACATGTGTAATGCATTCAAAAATAGTACTCTCTCCTTCCATTGGGAATTGATTGTGTTCTTTCCACGCTTAACTTATTTTAGCTATTAAATTATATTTGCGTCTCTCTTCAAAGTGGGAAACAATTTATGGGGAAAAGGCTTGTTAATGGTTAAGAAAAGTAATACTGTTAATGCTTCAAAAATCGATCTAATGATGTAGTAACTGATAGAATTCTAATGAAAAAGTTCCAGCAATTATAGTCACAATATTTTTTTGAATTATATCGCTACCATATAATTAGATCAATAAATTATGTCAATCTTTAAGATCTCAATAACGTTGCTCGGTTAAGAATAGTGAATTTATAAATCAATATCTATATTGGTCATCTATTTGGTACAACAAAAGGGATTTCATTGCTACCAAAAATACGATTTGTCCAAAGTCGGACCCACCAAACTCACTATCGTCGCCATATCTTCATCTTCCATTTCACCATCTGTTTTGGTTATACAAATGAAGCAATAATCTCTCTCTCCCCACCCAAATGAGTGCATCCTTCTCAACAAGGCATGCAGAATTTAGCACCAGCACCAACATCACCAAACAGCCCAACAACCATCTCAACTTTTGGTTATACCTCAAACTTAAGCCCTAACATCCTTGTACACCACTCTCAATTTTATCACTCCCAAACCACCTCAGTAAGCAACCACTCTTACTTAGAAAGAGAATGAAAAATGGAATACAATTTTTTTTTTTTGCAAAAATGGAATACAGTTTTTCTGATACAATTTTGGATGATACCAAGGCTGAAGAATCTATGCCTATTTATAGGGCATTAAGAGGCGGCAAATTCGACCTTGACAAAGAATTTCTCCACAATTGTGACTTTGGCGCTGATGTTGAACATGGCAAGCTTTCACACCACAACAGTAACACTAATTTTTGTGTCTAGAGTTCTCTTCTTTGTCTATAATCTTGTGCTTGTGTTGTAGCAGACAGCTTTCACATATGAAAACAATAATTTCATGCACCCACTTCTTAGAGCTAGATTGATGCTTCACAGTATATGGTTAAGACTGCGGATCCTCTGCTTTAACACCAGAATGTCACTGTTAACAATTAACAATAGATAAGGCAGACCCATGTGGTTAAAGAATCGGTGAATTCACAATTTATCATGTCTATATACTCAACATATTAATGTATTAACAAGCTTATTGGTAAGTGTAGGTTGATTTGGCTAGCATGAAGACAGTGATCATCCGGAACATGGGTAACGTACAAATGTTGGAGCTGAAGGAAGTACCTGCAATGAAAAGTCTCTTTCCATGCTCCCTAGTTAAATGCTTTGTGCAACTCCAACGTCTTGAGATAAGTCGGTGTGAAAAACTAGAATGTATTGTGGCAAAGGAAGAAGGAGGAGATGAAAACGATACCAAAAGGATCGTCTTCCCAAAACTCAATTACTTGTGTATGAATGATCTGCCAATGCTTAGAAGCTTCTACTCCAATTCTGACAGTCTATTTTGCGGACAGGTATGCTTCTTTTCTTTAATATCCTTAATTAATTTTAGGCAATGCTAAAAGTTTTTGCTTTTTTTTTTTGGGTTCAATTGTGGTTAATGGTCTAACTATGCACGGCTCACATCACCCACCAACTCTAAATATATTTTTTCTCCTCCAGTTTTATTAGTGACATTTAACATGTGAAATTCATTTAGAGAGAATTACACGTTAGAAAAAATATGGTGAGGTGAACAAAAAAAAAAAGAAAATGCTATTTGGACCTTAATTTGATGACTTAATCTCGGGACCTCATTTAATATAGTCATTGATTGAAAGTGGACTCCATCTAACATTGAAACTACCACCATTGTAACATTCATAATGGTGTTCTTGTAAAGCACCTAATTAAATAGAAAGATTGGCACTTAACTTTTGTTAGCTATTAAATCACACTTGCTTTTCTCTTCAAAGTGGGAAACAATTATGAAAAAAAAAGGTTTGTTCATGGTTAAGAATAGTGAATTTAGACATCAATATCTTAACTATGATATTGGTCATTTATTTGCGACTTTGGACCCACCAAACTCACCAATTCACCACCATCATCTTCCATCGCACAATCTATTTTGGCTATATACACTATGGACATATGGCCAGAAAAGAAAAAGCTTTGGCAGAAAAGTCAATGGTTGGATAAGGCTACATTAAATGTAAGGAGATTGGGCATGTTTGGTGGATTGTCACAATCTGTTCTCTTTCAAAGTTTGTTGCACAGAATACTGTTTTGCCTTTTCCTTTTCTTTGTTCGTTTCTTCATCAAGGTTCACTATAAAAAGGGAGCCTCAGTTGGAATTCAAGCATCGAAAAATCATAAGCAATGTTCTGTATTTTGATTGTAGAGAGTTGTAAGGTATGTGAGAGTTGAGTGATATCTAAGTGATATTAGTGAGATTAGAGTGCATTTTTTTTTGTTGGAGTGAGCAATTGAGAGGCAAGAAACAGTTACTCTTGTACTGTTGTTTTACTCAATAGTAAAAATATCCGGTCGTTGTTGTCGAGGACATAGGTAATAGCTGAACCACATAAATATATTATATCCATTTGTGTGTGTTTTATTTATTTTTTATCACTTTATTGTTTATCTTGGTACCCAAATTGTGGGTTCGTCGTAACAAGTGGGTATCAAAGCCTCATTGGTGGGCCCGAGCACTCTCGATGGGTGCAAGCACTGTTGGTGGGCCCGACAACTATTGGTAGGTCTAGATATTGTTCATTGAATACTAGGGTAAATTGTAAAGGGGTACACCAAATTAGATTTATTTGGCAAAAAGTACACACTAAAAAATGTAGGGTTATTAAGTACTTAATTTTGATATTTATTTATATCCAAGTACATAATTTGAATTTATCTATTTTTATTGTGACATTTTTGCCCTCCATTAATCCATGTATATTTAATGCATTTCTTTGAAAAGTGGTGCATTAAATTTTTTCTAGTTTTATGGGAGAACTTTAATACATATATATATACATGAATACAAATTTTGAAATTCAAACATTCAAACAAGTATATATATATATATGTATATATATAGATATATATATACACATATATATAAATACATAAATAAATAAATACATATATATTTATGTATATTTATGTGTATATATATATATATATATACACGTTTTTATATATACATAAATACATATTTTTATATATATAAATACTTATGTATGTATGTATATACTTGTTGTTAAATCTCTTATCTAAATTTTGAATTATCTTTTAATACACTTTGATTCATGCATTTTTTTTAGAAAGTGGTTTTATTTTCAAATTAATTTAATATCTGAATAGTGTAATAGTGTAACAATAACAGTGTAACAATAAAAGTGTAACACTAACAATGTAACAGTATAACAATAATAGTGTAACAAGCTATTTACACAAAATATTGTACTATTACATATTGTCAAACATATAGTTTCATATAATTTCTTTCAAAATAGTCCATCTCCGTTTTGAATTTATTACCATATACACAAAACTACTTAACACTGTTTTTGTTATAGTGTATTTGTTACACTGTTATTGTTACACTATTACATTATTTGGATATTAAATTAATTTTAAAATAAAACTATTTTCCAAAAAAAAAAAATGCTTGAATAAAGGTGCATTAAATATAATTTGAAAACAAAATCACTTTTCAAAAAAAAATACGCATGAATCAAGGTGCATTAAAGATAATTCAAAATTTAAATAAGAGATTTAACAACAAATATATATATATATATATGTATATATATATATATATATATATATATAGTATTAACAAATACACATGAATCAAAGGTGCATAAAATACTTATTTATATGTATTAACAAACACACATGAATCAATGTGCATTAAAAATAAGAGGTTTTGAATTAAATGAACTTAAAATGGGCATTTATGTCTTTTTAACTCACATTTTGTTTTTTGTACTTTTTGCCAAATAAGTCTAATTAGGTATACCGACTTTCAAAGAACCCTTGATACTATTCATGATGGGTGGGTAAGAGTACTATAGGCAAACCATGAATAGTAGGGACTAATATTTATGGAGCTGAGTTTTATATTTAGAAAAGGCATTTAGCATCCAACTATAGACATTAACATTGTTTTTGAATTGAAACACTATAGAGGTACTTAGCTTGCTACCCGATAACCTTTGATTAATGTGGTTTATGTTATTAGATTGATTATTTACTATGAACCATAGTCTATGGTTCATATTTTATCATATTTACACTTTTAATCAATTTCCATATTTGCCAAATTTTAAAACGACTTACGTAAAGAATATTTTAATGAATTTTAAAGATGTTGAAAAACGAAAAGGTAAGAAAAATGTGGAAGATAGAGAGGGAAAGTGAGATAAATAAAAAATTAAGAATGGAGAGTGAAAAAAAAATTACTGAAAAGACAAATTATCATTTACAAAAATTGAATGATGAGAATGATTATAGAAACAGTTGGCCAAAAACTAATAGACTAAATGTTGCAGGGTTGTCCTCAATAAGGAGGGTAGAGCTAGATTGATGCTTTACTGTATGTTGTTTAGGATCAGTGAATTTGTAATTTATCATGTTCATGTACTCAAAATAATCAAGTGATCAGCACGCCAATTGGATATCATAGGTTGATTTGCCTAGCATGGAGACGGTGATCATCCGGAACATGGGTAATGTACCACACTTAGGGGCAGGGTCATTTGCATTTGGAAACTTAAAAGTGCTGGTGCTAGAGTGCCTACCTGCAATGAAAAGGCTCTTTCCATGCTCCCTAGTTAAATGCTTTGTGCAACTCCAACGTCTTGAGATAAGTCGGTGTGAACAACTAGAATATATTGTGGCAAAGGAAGAAGGAGGAGATGAAAACGATACCAAAAGGATCATCTTCCCAAAACTCAATCACTTGTGTATGAATGATCTGCCAATGCTTAGAAGCTTCTACCCCAATTCTGACATTCTATTTTGCGGACAGGTATGCTTCTCTTCTCTAATATCCTTAATTAATTTTAGGCGGTGCTAAAAGTTTTTGCTTTTTTATTTGGGTACAGCAATGGGTTAATGTCCTAACTACTCTAGCTCTAAAAATCATTTTTTTTTTCTTAATTTTATTATAGCGGCAGTAAACATGTGCAATGGATTCGGAGAACTACACGTTAGAAAAAATATAGTCAGATGACCTAATAAAAATGAAAAACAATACTAAGAATGCAATTGTGAGATGGTAGATATAGTACTCTTTCCTTCCATCTGGAATTTTTTTTTTTTTTTTTGATCCGATTCCATCCGAAATTAAAGGTTTTCTTTGTAGAACACCTAATTAAATAAAAGGAAAAATTATAATTTAAACCCTTAATGGTCTTCCGAAGGCCGATGCACCAAACTCACCATCGTCACCTCATCATCTTGCATCACACCATCTATTTTGGCTATGCAAATCAACCAATAATCTCTCTCTCTCTCTCTCCCATGAGTGTTATCCTTCTCACAAGGCATGCAGAATGCAGCACCACCAAGATCACCAAATAGCCCCCCAGCCATCTTTACTTTGGTACCAAAATCAATCAAGACCTGTCAGCTATGTATTTCTCACATCAACTACAATTGTCAAAAGGTCGAATTTGTGTACATAGTCGGACCTTACTAAATATAAAACTACATCTATATGGGTTCAATGTAGAAAAAACCTGAATTCAGTTAAATTAATAGCAATAGTGTGGTAAATATATATTTTTTGAGGACTATTTGATATTTTATACCATAAAAGTTAATATATAAAAAATCGTAATTTCTTATATATCATCGGATTCATATCAAATTATTCAGATTTATGGATCTTTTATCAGTTTCAATACAGTAAAAAGTTGAATTTGGATTTATGGCTCTTTTGTTTAAAATTTTAATTCTCATATTTGATCATTAATACTTTCAGATCTTACAAAATTATTAACTGTTAGAGCAAGAGTAATGCTATAAGTAAGTAATTAGAGATTTAAATCAATGTAGTCATTGGTTTAGTTGTTAGTTTCAAAGTTAGATAGAGCTTACTTTTAATCCAATGGTTACATTGAATTAGGTCCCCAAGTTAAGGAAAATATAATTTTCTATTAGAGTAATACATACAAAAAAAAAAAAAAAATTCTTGAACCATCATATTACCAATCTTCAACACCATTATCACCTTCACCCCCATATGCTTTTTCTCTCTCTGCCCATCCATCCTGCCACCACCATCATTAATGCTTATACTTGGGGTATAAATCATATTACCTTTGGTTTTAATTTGGTCTCTCAAAACTTTCAATTGTCTCAATTTAGTCATCAACTATCAATTTGGTGTCAATGAAGTACTTCCGTTCTTTTCTACCTTTAGACCAACGCTGAAATAAATTAGACTGGGTTAGTGTTTAGTAGATCTAACAATGAAAATTGATAGAAGAACTTAATTAAGACGAAATTAATAGTTGAGGGACTAAATTTGAACAATTGAAATCGAAGGCAACATTTAGAGACCAACTATGATTTTTACCCTTATATTTGTTACTTGCGGACCAAAAAGAAGTGATTGATGTGTACATCCTTTATAGGAGAAGGTGATATTGATGTTATAGTACTATAGTTAGTGAAAGGGAAAAAATAAACAAAAATAGTTTACAAAAAATGTTGTCCTACCCAAGCTAACACAATAAGGGAAAGACATTTAAAACTACAAACCCAAATAATGGGGACTAATATTTATGAACTGAGTTTTATATTTAGAAAAGGCCTTTAGCACCCAATTTATAAAACTCATTGGTACTTGCAACCCATTAACCTTTTGGTTAATGTGGTGTCAATTATTAGATTGATTATTTACTGTTTCAAATTATAACGTATTGACACTTTTCATCAATTTCCAGTTTTGCCAAATTTCAAAACCATTTAGGTAAAGAAGATTTTTACGAATTTTAAAACTGTTGAAAAAAGAAAAAGTAAGAAAAATGTGGAAGGACTGGTTGTCATTTACAAAAATTTAAATAATTGGAATAATTAAAAGACGTTTCAAGGCTGTCCTCAACAAGGAGTTTAGAGCTAGATTGATGCTTTCCTGTGTGTGGTTAAAGGATCACTGAATATTCATGTGCTCAACACACTGCTTGGATATCACAGGTTTATTTGCCTAGCATGGAGGCAATGATCATTAAGAACGTGGTCAAATTACAATTCATGAAAGAAGCAGTGTTTGATTTCGAGTGGCTGAAGGTTAGAGGAAGAGATGTAGAAGTCACATTCAATCAGTTTGATTCATTGTTCTTATATGGTTTACCTCAGCTCACGCATATATGGTGGATGGTTCCCAAAGAATTTCAAGGTTTCAAAAATCTGAGCTGGCTAATCATCAAGAAGTGTCACAGTTTGAGATATTTATTGTCACCTACTGTGGTAAAATTGCTAGTGAATCTACAAGAGTTAGGTGTGATGGATTGCGAGGCAATGGAAGAAATCATATCAATGGAACAAGACGGTTCCAAGACCAACGTTGTGGAAGAAATGGCGATGGATAAGATTGTGTTCTCACAATTGAGGCATCTAAACCTTGTCGATCTAGAAAACCTCACTGTTTTTTGCTCCGGAAAGTATGAATGTCAATTTCCTTCATTAAACAGCGTGGTCATTCGAAACTGCACAGAAATGAAGAATTTCTGTTCTGGACCGATATGCACACCAAAGCTTGAAAGAGAAAATGTAAAAATTGGCAAACAAGAGGTTTGGATGGGTGATCTGAATACAACCATACAATGTGCAGATTCAAGGTATGTCTTCATTGTTTATAATTCTTCAAGTCAATCAAAATTTTCTTTTGTTACCTGATTTTTCAAGAAGATAATTATGCATAATGATATTATCAGAAATCAGAGGCGGAGCTACTCACGTGTTAACTGCCCCCACTCAATTTTGTTTTGCAAAATACAACTTTGAATAGATTTTAGTATATTTTATTTTAAATTTTCCCCACAAAAAAATTAATTTTCTTTCTCACCGCTGTTAATTTATATTTATAATAAGAAAACTAGTCAGTGACAAATTACAAATATAAGGTAAAGTTGCTCTATTATGATCTAGGCATTAATAATTTAAGTCGCAAAAAACACCGCCTTATCTTGCAGTAGGAACTTGCACATTGAGTCACTTTTTTTATTTATTATTAGTCCACAAATTTTAATTTTACTATCGTTAAAATTGAAATACTATTATGATATAATTTAGAATCCTTATTTGTTAATCTAATGTATTGCCATCACGGTATTAACTGTGAGTCTTAACATTGGATATAGTCTCCAAATTAAGCACATGTTGTATTATTATTGTTAAAATTTTTGGAAGAGTCCTGCCAGAAACACTGTTATTGTTGGAAAATTTAAAGCTTTAAAATTTTTGTTTATGATTTTTAATGGACCATTTAATTTAGGATTTAATGGGATGTTATAGACCTTATTCTTAATAGGGTAATTAAATAGATTTTACGGTGGGGTTACCAAGTATGACACATGACCGTTGGTCTCTAGTGCCTATAAAGAGGACTCTTCCAAATGGTCCGATGTGTGGACAAATTAAGCTTCTTTTCTTACCTTTATGCAACTTTAGTTTCGTTGTTGCTTTTCAACTCCATAGTTTTCTATATAATATGTTTTTCGAGCAACTTGGATTCAAGTTAGGTTCACTCCAATTTTTCAATGGACGTGACTCCTAAGGAGGTATTGTTGTGAGCATACCTGGTTTGGATCTTGGAGCTGCATATGTCCGTTAGTATCTTTACGTGTGAAGGTATAGCTGTTTTAAGACAACGAATACGCGTCTCCCACATATCACATATCTCATCTTTCTAATTTATTATTGTCTATTCATACTGTCATAACCAATGCTATAATAACATATATTTGGTTTGTATTTTTGTTATTTTATGTTTTGATAATTGAATCGTGAATTAATATTTATGAAATTTGCTATTTTTCCCAACGGTTATTTCTTTACCTATTTGCACTCTGAATTGTATGTAAGTCATCATTTCTTTTTTGTTTTACAGCTTTATAGAAAAAGATGAAGATGAAGATGAAGATAGAGAGATACAGAAGATGAGGATAAGGATGGAGTTGAAGATGATGAAGATGGAGATGAAGGTGATGGAGATGAAGATGAAGGTGCAGTGATGGATGGAGAAGAATAAGAAAAAACCTGCAGAAGATGAAGACGATGCAGCATAAAAAGATGAAGCAGCAGAAACTTTTAAAACTCAGAAAAGATGTTCACTTGGAGTCTCTCTCTCTCGTATTACTTTTTGCAATAAATGATCACTATTTAAATGATACCCTAACTGCACTATATATCCCTTTCCTTGAGTAATGTCTAATATATATATGAATTTCCAGTTTTGAGGTTGATTAGTTAATACAGATGGAAGTTTGTTTTTGATAGTCATGATTGCACTGGGCTGGACCATGTAGTTATTCAAAGTGGCTTTGAGAGTTGTTTGGATGAACAACTATCCTCCATGGCTTCTTAGTTTACTCGTTTTCTGTAAAATAATTTTCTGATGACCTTTGAACTCTCTGATAATATAAGTGTTTGCCTTCTTGAGGTTGACAAAAGAAAGGGATGAAAGAAACCAAGGGCAACATGAGTTTCTTTTCCTCGTGAGCTTTATCATTCACAATCACAACACTTTCGTTCTTTTGTTCAATCGTCCCAAGGTGGGATTGAGAGTGTCTCGGACTCCACGAACATAGCAACCTTAGCCCTTTCTATAGAAGGTAAAATAGTTATTTACAGGACAAATAGTTGTTAATAATTATGATATATTTATGAGTCCTACATAGTTATGTGTTGCATACCAAACATGGATATGAACTGAATTTAATGTTGAATCTGATCTTTGTAAAGAAGGGCTTGGGATTGGACGCATTTAGGGAAGTCAATCCAAATTCTCCCATAAAAATCCATCCAAACAAGCCCACAATGTAATAAGTGCATAATATTTTATTACTGTTATTAATTATAAGGAAAAATTAAAGCTTACTTAAAATCCTCACCCAAAGATCATTCTTGACTCTCCCCCTAATAATATGTACAAAATTACTGTTTTAGCCTGCACACTTTTATATTAAAAAAATATTTACAAAACACATTTTTAAGTCAAAAGTATTGGTTTTGCACAACGGATAATTAACACAAATAATACTTGTTGGAAGATGGAAATTCAAAGATAAGAAAACAATAAAAATATGACGCAAAGATATAACGGGGTTCGATACAGTACAACCTTTCGGTATATCGCACTTACATCCATAGACTAAAAACCTATATCGATGTATTATTCATTAGAAAACTAGTTATCTGGTAACTGATTAAATAATACTAAACCTATTTATAGGATAAAAATACTGTAACCTAAACCTATTTAAATATAACTTGATCTTTATGTTTTTTATTACATGTCTAATATATATTAAAACTCTTCCAATATAAATTTATTTTATATAAGATTCTTACATTGATTACCCAACAAATTCTCATTCATAACAATTAGAAAGTTTGAGTCAAATTCCAACAAAAATAGTTTCAAAATCGCAGTGCCAAAGGAATTATTTCAAAGAACCATCCCCTTCGTATCTATTATAAGGAGTGCATTCAGCCTGTAACTATTCGCCAGATCAATAGAATGAATTTTCACTTAGCTGCCACTTAATTAAAGGAACCACCCATGCCAATAACCAAAAAGAAAGAAAGAAAGAAATACAGAGACAGGTACACATCATTCCTTAGCACATGTTCATTTGTACTGAAAGTTGCAAATACTTTCGAAAAAAATTATATTCAGACTTTTGAGATTTGTTACTTAATCATTTAAAGTCCTTGATATTTAAAATATTACATACAAACTCTCTAAGGTTTGTACGTGCAAAACACTTATACCCCTTTTGTCAATATCTATTAATAAATTACACCTAAACTCCTGAAATTTATAAATGTGTAATAGTCAAACTCTTCAAGTTTAAAATATAATAGTTACACTTCTAAACGACCAAAATACTCCAACTAAATATAGAAGATATTATGTTTAGATCCCTTATTTGATTTTTTTAATTTTATTCCAATAGACAGCATAATTGTATACAAATGAGTGCTGAATTGAGTTCGTTAATATATTTATACTGATTATTATATGCAGTTCATACATTTGAGTCACTTACGGACTTAGGCATTGGAGAGTCCACCTCTAGAGTTCCCCTCCATTTGACTTCTTTTTCAAGTAATTGAAGCCCAACAAACTGATGTGTAGGTCATCTAAATTTTGGCATCAACAATACTAATTATAAATTTTTTTAAGAAAAAATTAGATTTTTATTTTTGATTTTATTTCAATAAATGACATAATAGAGTATAAATTTTGATTGTAAAATTTAAAATATTTTATATTCTATCTTCAATTGAAGTATTTTTTGTCTAATTATAATATTTTAAATTTGAAGGACCTATGTGTTATGCGTCTATAAATTTCGGGTGGTCTAGATGTAATTTACTAACAGATATAACATTGACGACTAAGGTTATTCAGATTTTCGATTACCCACAAATTTTGTCCCTATCCTACCCTACTCGAATCTATAAATCAACTACCCGCAAGATTAACGTGTATATATATATATATACACGTTAATCTCTACAAATTAAAATCTAAAAATTTAGAAACCCTAATGTTTTATTGATGTTTATGACTTTCTTATATATAATGTATTAATGTTTATAGCGTTCTTGTTGTGTTTGATTGTAATAGTTTATGTATTATCAAATTTATTGTGTTTTCTTTAGTGTTATTGATTTATTATATTAGTTAATTAGTGTATGTTACTTAATTGAATTGTTAAAATGATTCAAAAATTAATAACTAAAAAATATGTATTCACCCAATTTTTTACCCGACTTCCTACCCGATTGTTTTGGACAAAATTCAGGTAAAAATAGTATACTTGATCGGGTAGGGTAGGTTAAAAAAAAATTCTTCCACAAACTATCGGATAGGAAGATGGAATACCATAATTCCTATACCGTAGGGTAGGGTGAATACCCCTGTTGACAACAAGAGTCTAATCACCTGTTTGGTATGTGGGTTTGGGGGGTTTTTGGAACATAGGTTGGGGAATAAACCCATGTTTGACAACTATACATTTTGTCTAAGGTTTGAAATCCGACTTGGTCATGAAACCCACATACTTGGGTTTTATGAAACCCAACAAGAGGGGTTTCATATGTAGGTTAATGAGTTTAACATACAATGACATTTATACACCTGTATACAAATTGGTCAAGGGGGAAAAATAATTATTTATATATAAATATATTATTATAATAGTCATATATCTCTGCACATACCAAACATGGGTATGCACAACATTGAATGTTGAATCCCATCTTTGGGTCAAACCGGGTTTGGACAAACTAATTCAAACCCCTCTCAAAAAACATACCAAACAGACTCTAAGTGTTTTGCATGTACAAACTTTAAGGAATTTGTATATAATATTTTAAATATTTGGGAATCTAAGTAATTAAATGGCAAGTCTCATAAAATCTAGGTGTAATTTTCCCAAAACTTTCTATTGCATAGCAGAGATATATAGCACTCTCTTGCATACAAAAACCACTATACACAACACGAAAAGCATTAAGAATGGACTTCATCTTGATAATAAAATAAAACAATGAATTGATAAATGATTATACCAGTGTTCATGAAGCAATTGATAAATGCAACTACGAATAAACTCTTTGAATGGAAACTGCACCTCAGATTTCCCCTATAGGAAACCCAAATGATTTAACCACAATCTAACCACAACTTAATGACCCATAAAAAGAACCTAACATCCAAAACTTTCATAGCAAACACAAACTCTTTTTGATTGATATTCGAGTCTTTGAATACAAATTAAAAAGTACAATAAAAATAACGAACATACACTGTGACTCCTTTACGTACATAACTACTTAGACCATTAATATCACACCACTACCCAATTTGCTAAATAATCTTAATCGACTGGATTTGATATTGTATATATATAGGTGTAAAAATAACAAGCACATAACAAATTAACAGTTACGGCTGCACATGGTAGTGAGATTCATATATAATTACAACAAAAACAATGCGGCTAATGTTTGATCAACATGCCTTTATGCCCAAATGCAATCAGAAACCATCTTATCGGTTACCTTAAAGCCTCCTTGCAGATCACAGAAGCAATTATTGAGGAGCTAAGTGCTTCAGGGTTTCCATCAGTTTTACAATGTCTTCTAGCCTAGATACACTCTATGATGTGCATTCATCTGCACAATACCCTGAAATGCATCGGAACCAAACATTCGAAAAGAAAAATTGCGAGCAAGGAAGTTTGAAGAATGCATTCTGATGTGTGAAATTGTTGCAAAATGCTTTGACTGCCACTCAAGCCGCATCATTCATTGTTTCAACTTAGAGGTGCTCTCAAGACATGACATTTGCTCTTTGCCTTTTCAGCATTTCCCTCAAAATGGTGGCCTTTTGTCCCCATGAGACAATTTAGTTCAATGAAAGAGAGGTAGATTTCTACGAATAAAGTTTGTGTAGCTGGATTTTGTACTAAGCCTTCTGAAACGCACGAGAAGAAATCTCATGCAAAAGTCTAACAAACCCCAAAAAGCTGAGCTTTCCATCTGAGTGTCTTATCCAGTCTTGGAGGACTACATGAACAGGTACTGATGGGCTAAGTCCAAGCTCCTGGTAAGAAAGACAAACATAGGAAATCTAAAAATTGAATGGAGTCATATGATAGTGAAAATCATGAATTTCTCAATTTTTTATTCCCTTATCTCTTGAGCAATCTGGGAGATCAATAAGCCTAAAATCCTTTAACCCAGTACTTGCACCTCTGTTGTCATCATCCTTGTCACAAATGTGGTTTGCATGTAGAGGTTATGAATTGAATCGGCCAAAAACGAATGGGAAAGGAATTTGGATCAGAGGAACAAAATAGTCCATGGCAAGTTTTGGTGCAGAAAATTTCTCAGTGGACCAGTTATGATTAACACATCCCGTACCACTTCTTGTTCAGTACTCCATTTATAGTGTTCACAAGGAACCATGCTTCAGGCCTAAAGTCGCTATATAGGCACTTCATAGGATCACATGCGTATATACTAGAACAATGCACTAGGGAGAGAAGAGTGGACCAGATGTGCCCAAGAACACATGGATGCTTGCTTATGCAAATGCACAGAGAGAGAGAGAGAGCATACTGAGGCAAGTTCCTCTATCATAATAGGTCTGTTTCCATCCTTCTCAAAAAGCACATAGGCACGTCGTGCATGTTGCTCCCAACTCTCCATTCCTTCCAGCTGATGCACACTTATTGCTGCAGCACAATATTCTTCAAAATCCAGTTTTCTATATTGAAGTGAACTTACCTGCAAGACATGTGAATACGCATTCAGCCAAGAGTCTCAATTTTTAATTTGCTGTGCAGTAATATTTATTATTAAGGTCTGTTTACTCTAACTAATAAAGAAGAGGAGGAAGAGGAAGAAGAAGAAAGAAAAACAAGAATAAATAAGGAAACGGGATATCACCATGTTGGCATAATCTTGAACCCTTGAGTCCTTCATGGCATCAGTGGAGTTCTTTGCCACAGCCTGCCGTATTTTGAGATTTAGGATAACTGGGGGAGGAGTTGACAAACAGCTCGTAAAAAATGGCAAAAGAAAAACAAGTAAGAGCTTACCGTTTTAAAATTGTGTAGAAATATGAATCCGCATTTGTTTGGGCCCAGCAATGTAAATTGTTCTCGGAGATAAGCCAGCTGAGGTATTGTCAATGTCTTTGCAAGAGCCTGCCATAGAAGCAGAACGAACACAATATACTTACTGCTCCAATGCCCAAGCATCCTAATACTTAAATGCGTTAGTCTTAGATGTCCATAAGCGAGTACTTTTCATCTCAAGAGAGGAAAAAAAAAAAATTGCTTGTTTATGTTCAGTCCATTTGATAAGGTGGATGGAAAAATAGAAGGATAAAAAGTGGGAGCGATATACTTTCTATCCTTCGAGCAAGGATTAAAATATCGTTTCGAAACGTCTGAAATGTTTCCGTTTCTAAGGAGATTGAAATGAATCAGTGATGGAATTGAAATTTTAATATTTCAAGCTATTTCATAATGTTTTGAGATGTATTATAATATTTCAATGCATTTGCACAATTGTTTCGGAATGTTTCAAGCTATTTCAAGATAGTTTGATATATTTAAATCAATGTTTTAGAAAAATAATTCTTAAATTTTTTATTTTTTTTATTATGTTTCCAAAACGGGTCAAAATGTTTCCGAAACACATTTAAATGTTTTCATTTTTTAAGTGACCGAAACAATACAGCGAAACGAAATTTTGATATTTGCCTTCAATGAAGGAATCTTTCCTTCCCTTTTTTGTGTTTTGGTAAAAGGGATGGAAAGTAGGAAGGATTGATTTTTTTTGTGTTTGATAAGTTGGAAAAAGTTTTTTTTGTTTTTAATATTTTTTATATTCAAAATTTTTATATATTTTTTAAAAATTTTAATTTTTTTTATTATTTTTTAGAAAAAATATAAATACATATTTTACCATTATATATATGAAATTAATGTATACATAATATATAATTGATATATATTAAAGGATATATAGACAAATAACATACATTTCAATACGCATAATTAATTTTTCATCCACTTTTTTCCCAATTTTGGAGGGATTGATTTTGGTGAGTGAAAAGGAAAGGTAATCCATTCATTTTTCCATCCTTTATATTTTCCTTCCATACTAAACATGATATTTTATCTATCCCTTTAACTTTCCATCTTTCCATTTTTCTATCATACCAAACGAAGCATCAAGGTATTTAAAGCAAATGGGTCTTATGTTTATTTTTATTGTTTAGAGTTTATAAATTCCGAATTTTGTAAATTCTCCTGACAAAATTATATCAAAGGCAGAACTACTTACCCCAAGAGATGCTTTCCTCAGAAAAGAAGAACATATATAAGCTTTTACAAGCTTGTATGTTATGATATCCAAGGGTATCTTGACATCATGATAACCGGCCAGCCATGGATGACCTAAAGAAGAAAATTCAAGAGAAGATATTAGAACCCAGAACAATAATCTAGCTGATTAAATAAGCATCACAACGCCCTAGGCATTGCGATAACGGTTCCTAGTATCCTTAACCATCTCAGGAAGAAAGCAATGGTATGGCATTCAAATTTATTCATATCAAATTAACTTTTCAACATCGTTTCACAAGGACCGAGAAAAATTTTGGTACAAAAAGTATACAGGGAATTCAGATTGTCAAACAAAAATCTAATAATTTAGATCGTCTGAATAACTTACTAAGAGCCTGAGCAGCAGTTAATCTCTTGCGGTAATCCTTGTTGAGCAGTCTCTTTACAAAGTCTACCGAATGGGCTGAAAAAGAAGGCCATGGGGCTTCATCTAAACTAGGGTCTGCTTTAAGGACCGCTCGGAAGATTCCAGATTCTGTCCGAGCCCAAAAGGGCCGACTTCCACAAAGAAGAATATAAGCAATTACACCTATACTCCACATATCGGCTTCTGTTCCATATGATCTATGAAGAACTTCAGGAGCTACATAGTATGCACTCCCTACGATATCATTCAGCCTTTCATCTGCACAAAACTCCCAACTGTCAAACTGTCATCATCCCTTTACAATAGTCAGAAACATATAGTCTAAAGCATATGAGAGTTGACCTGGCTTTACATAATCAGATAATCCGAAGTCAATGGCCTTCAATTGAGAATGCTCATCTCTAGATGTAAAGAGAAAATTCTGAAGCCAAATTCAACAAGTTACTATCAAAGAAGAAAATTCCATAGTAAAACGAGAATTATTCACGAAGAAATAAGCACAATTTCAATAATATGAATCGTCTTAGGAATCAAAAAAAAAACCTGGAAAAGTAGCAATAATTTTATTTATTGAGCAATGACCAAAAAAAATTTTCGGTCATAGCAGTGATTAAATTTGGAATGACTGACAATTACAAGAATCCAATCATCACATAGCTTTCGCATGATAAATTTGTAAAGCAGGCAAAAGGAAACATCCTTTCTTTAAACATGACTTGCACTTTTTGAAACTAATTTCATTCTTAATTCTCGAATCATTACTAATGCTGCGTTGCTTTCTAGTAAATTCAGGAATTCTAGATACGATTCTGTTTGTAAATTCACAGAAACCTAGATTATTAACATGCAGAAACAAGTTATAAACAGATTATGATCATGTTATGACAAAAAAGTTCATTTCATGAGAATGGCGATTATTGGTTTTTGAATAACCACTAGTATTGAGCAACAAAGAATAGCAAGTGCAATCCCAGAGCAATAATAAATTAGAAAATGTACTAGAAACAATGCAGAGTAGCAACAAGTTCAAATATTTTAACACTGAATACAAGGTGACAGAGCACCTATAATAGGTTTTACCCAAGTAAGGGGGAAAAACAAAGAAAAGGAAAAGGAGAAAAAAGGACCTACATCCATCACAAGTATATGCACTTCCAAATAGGAAGTTTGGTGAAGGTTTAAGCCACTGTCCAAGAAAGGTACTATCTTACAAAGGTTCAAGTTTTTCAAGTTAGCAAGGGAAAAAGAAAGTATGTTCATTCCCTTTTATAAAGATAGAGTTGGTTGCTATCAATGAAAGCTCTTAATGTGGGAAAATCTCTACCACAACTTATTCGTTCTGCAATTCCGATTTAACAAAACATTCCTCCTAGAGTCGCTACTAACATGACTAAGAGAAACTCCGTTTATAACCATTTCTTACTATTAACATACTTTGCCGATAAAGGGATACATAGAGTTGGACATAATAAAATAAGAAATTGAAATAAATCATCTATAAAATACCTCGGGCTTCAGGTCACGGTGAACCACACCTTGGAGATGGCAATAGGCAACCACACTCAAAATTTGGACCATGACAGCTTTTGCATCTTCTTCCGGGTATTTTCCACCCCTAAATTACATGACAGCTAAGTTAGCCAGTTAGAAGGTTGCAAAACAAACCAAAAAATTTGCTGCAAAACGACATATGCATGGGTGGGTACCTGGAAAGTATTCTATCTAATAATTCCCCTCCTTTGCATAACCTGAAGAACACACAACACAACAAAACTTGTGCTCGTAAATTTTTACAATTCAAATTGCTAGGTTGGGAATCCTTGCTACATGTATGACCAATTTAAGTCGATATATCTCGTTAAATACTCAGACAACACAAAAGGGAAAAGTATCAGAGACTGATCAAGAATCAAGATCATGTGATTCGAAACCAAAGTTTGGTTCCAATAAGTCAGCCTGACAATACCAAACTTAGGCTGATTTCCACGCAACTCAGCCTGCTAATATCAATGTCTACAATAATTCTATGTAATTTCACAACAGGGATGACTCAATCACATCACATCACATTAACTGTGAGTTACATGCCTTTCGATAGGTTGACATCGTGACTCCAATTGTCGGCTATTAACTCAACCAAATGGTTAGATTAAGTAATATTATATCCACATATGACCCATGGTGTCCATGTGTAGACTGTGGCATCTAGTGTAGATAAAAAACAAAAGAATAAGTTAATAAATTCCTTTACATAACTATCTTGGAACACTAATGCCCTTTTATATGGTATAATTGACAATGACAACTTTCAGATTTGTTGACTTTGTGCAAACCAGAGGAGTTGAAAGGTAACCCGACCACAAGCATCAAATTTATTATGATAGAACCGAGGTCAAATAAATGGAAGTGGTCCAAACTTACTCCATTACTATATAAACATTGTCGTCATCCTCAAAGGCATCATAGAATTGCACCAGGTTCTTATGTCCGGTAAGAGCCCGTAATATTTTCACTTCTCTCCTTACATCCTCAATGGCAATAGCTGTAGTCATCTGCGAAAACATATCCAATCTTAAATAGAAGAAAAAAAAAAGAATTACATTGTTTTTTCTCAGCATTCATATCTATAAGGACATCATTTATCAAAGCATAGTCCATAGCTAAAAGGGTAGCCTAAACCCTTGATTCAAATGCCAGATTGCCAGGTGATTCGGGAGGAAAACTCTCTTATAACAAAAAGACTAAGAAAATAACAAATTATTACTTTTTGTTTGGAGAATGTAAAGGCATCATCATTACTGTTTAAATATATTAAACTACTATCTGCTGGATTAAGTTACAATGAACTTATATCATAGTCTTCAACCTGCAGAAAGCACTGAGGCCCCCGTCAAGCCTATTTACTTGAAATTGTTCATCCTGAACAAAGTTTTCCACAAAATTATACATATGTGATTCCTGGCATTTTCTCACTATTCCATTGAATTGATCCTCTTGTTAGTCCAATCCTAGTATTTGGAAGTCATAATCTTTACTCAGTGTAAAATAGACAAAAAACAAAGTGCCACTTAACCATCCAAGATCCATCCAGATTAAAGTCTACACCCTTATCCAAACTCAGAGGAGTAAACAACACCCACTCCAATACTATGGAAAGGAAGGAGCCATTTTTATTCCCTTCCAATAATCACCAAAAATACTCACAAAAGAGTAATACTGCATGGACTTAAAAATTAGACTTAAAAAATAGACTTGATAATTACAACCACTGATTTTACACGTTATAATTATCAAGTCTACTTTTTAAGTTCATGTTGCATTACACCTTACAAAAACCAATAAAAAATGAGAACAGTTACATAAGTAAATATAATCACAAATTACCATGTCATGATGTACCTTACAAGTTACAACATTTTACTAGAACAACAGAAACAGTAACTCACTCACCATAAGTTGGAAGCAATTCCAACTCACCCAACCAAAAAAACAATAATATTAAAACAAAGTACCTCCAAGAAATCATAAAATACACAATAACAGCAACCCTAAAAAATTTAGATAGAAAAATTGAACTGAATTTCCCAAAGACCAAACATAGTAATAACTACTATTCACAGGATTAGAAAGAAATTACATTAAAACAAGGCTATGAACAGCAGACCTTTGATTTTGGGATAACTTTAACAGCCACATCCTGCCCCTTCAAGCTCCCTTTTTTGGCCTTTGCCGAACAAGTATACCCAAAATGCCCACGACCCACCTCTTCTCCAAGCTCATAATGGCTAGTGAAACTCTTTGAATACCCAAAATCCTTATCCAACCCAACATCACATTCACTCCCCTCCGGAATTGAGGCGTCATTGGGCTCAACTGAACCATGTCTCCGAGCAAGCAATGCCCGGATATGCTTCGCTGGCGACGGTGGAGGAAATGGGCGCTTAAAGAGGCGGAGAGGGGTGGAGCTCACGCTAGAATTGGCCGGAGAATTCTTGAATGTGCTGTGGAGAGGACTTGGGCTGTAGAATGGGAAGTTTCTTGACTTCCCAGTTTGAGAATTCCATGTGGGTTCGTTGTCGTCATTGGGAATTACTGGTTTTTCAGAGGGGTTCTGTGGGGGTTCAATGGGTTTTCCATGACAAAGTCCCATGGATTCAGAAACCCAATTGTGAGAATATTAGAGAAACCAAACCAAAAAGAGCAATGAAAGGTCTAGAACTTTAGATCAAGAAGCAACAAGAAGTATCTTAAATCATTAGAAGAAGAAGGAGAAGAAGAAGACGAAAACAAAGTGACAAACTAAATTCGGGGGATTTGGAGCTCAAGAAAGTTTAATGCCAGAGAGGCCAAACCCAGAAAAAATCACAGAACTAAGAAACAAAGTTCAACTGAAAAATGGAAAGATGTAAGGGAGAATTGGAATCAGCAAAGCAACAGAACCAAGAATTGTTTTCCACAAGGTAAAGAATGAGACTGTCAAAAAGAGCATTAAAAGTGGGAAAAGATGCCTAGCAGGGACTGCAAGAAAAGAAAAAGAAAGAAGCCAATATTCTCTCTTTTCTGCTTTTTTTAAATTATTTTCTTTCTTGATTTCCTTGGTGGTTTTGCATGAAATATCCATTTGTACAGAGGCCCTGTTATTAATTGTTAATTATGGTAGTGGGGTTGGGTTTGGATCCTTCCAGCCTGTCGTTAATGGGAGTGAGAGAAGAGGATGTGTCTCATATGTAAACATTTGCAAACAGCTGAGCTAACTAACATTTGTCTATGGAGTTTGAACTTTGACCAGCTTTGCTAGGTTTTGAACTTGGAAATGCTTCTTCCTAATCTTTTTCAACATACTTCTACAGCATATTTTCTCTTTTTCAACAGTTTTAACTTGCCTGAATTGCTGAAATTAAGAAAGCTAAGCAAAAAAATCTGAATAAAACCCAAGTCGTAAAAATTGATTTTTGTTTCCACTTCAAAAATTATTGTCTCTAAAAAGTTTGAATTTTGACATTTTTCTGAGATTTAGAAGTTCGGACATTGCGAACTAACTTGCAAAGATTGAATATTATGTTTTTCTCCTCGTATGTTGTTGTTGAGGTTAATGTTGTTGGAAGTCAAATGTTATTTCACATCAAACTTATAAAATAATCATGGAATTATATGAATTGGTATCTGCTATGATTTTCTAAAAGCAGCTGTTTCAATGTGAATTAACTAAATGATAACATTAAGCCAACCATTAAAACCCTATGTATATATCCCAAAAGATGTTGTAGTATGCATCTTTACTTGTGGGATATGGTGCCCTCAGTAGTAGGTATAGCTACTTGAATGAATTCATTAACCCATCAGTGTCCTTGATTTATGTTTCAAGTACTTTAACTGGAAGTAATCAAAGACAGTAAATAACTCTCAACCACCATAGCTCCACCACTAGCATGGACACATCTCAACTCGTGATCATGTAGATGGCAGGTGAAAGTCTCTATTTCTTTCAGTCAAAACAAGGTTTTTTTTTTCACGGTCGCAAGGAAAAATAATCTCAGTCTCAGCCATTCATGCTTTAAACTTGAGACTAATACATAGTTCAGATATACATAAGCATACATAAGCATGCTAGATTAGTCACATTTCGAGAAAAAATATATGGTACACTAGTCAGAATGTTATTATTACTTCAGTGAATAATAATCTTATAAAGAAACAAATCTTATAAAAATCAAGAATGACCGACTCTGATAGACTCAATTGATTAACATGGTTTATTGCTATTAACCAAATATTTGGGTTTAGAAAACAAAAATGTGTCTTATACCTTTGATGATTCTTGCAAGCACTGGAAGTGGGTTACCAATTTGAGGTTGGTAACCTATGTGTGACATAATTTTGACTCATAATTGGTTTGTATTACTTATATTTGCCTTGCTCTATGAGGATATGAAAATTGGGGTGGTGATGTGTGTGGGTCACGCTTTGGTTTGGATCGATTTGGGTGAACTATTGTCTATTACTGCTGCTATCAACAACTTCACTTTCCACCACAAGTAATTGGTTTTAATTGTCTTCCCCGGATTTGTGTTTTTGGCTTTTAGTTTTAGCTAAGGCATGGATGACCCTTCTTCCTCATCTCTTAACTAGTAGTACAATATTACACCTAAGAGTAGTTAGTTTGGATAATTAATATTTCTAGGTTCTAAATTTGAATCATTTTTGGTTCACCCCATATACAAGTTTTGGGAGTAATTGTGGGCATCTCAAGTTTTTGTAGCAATAATAAACCCAAAGTACACGTGGACTCCCATAATTTTGGCAAAAATACACATGCACGTGCACATACACACACACATATACAATGATCACGCCAACAGAAGAAACACTATAATTTGTTTGCACGATGAACCAATAATATATTTATGTATTCTCAAAAATAGATGATGAGCCCGAAAGTAACTGGGCCAGACCCAATTAATCAAAAAAGACCCATGTCACCTCGGAACCTAAGTAAACAAGTCAAGGAGGAGCCCAAGTCCACAAGAGGAGCCCAAGTTAAGAGGAAGACAAAGTCAAGGAGGAGTTCAAGGGGAACACCCCAAGGGGCTATCCTCCAAGGGGGGTCACACCAAGGGATCCTTTCCCTCCTTTGTCTCATGCTCCCTCTCCTGCGCAATCTCGTGGAGTCCTTCGCCCTCTTGACTCTACCACTCCAGCTCAAGTCCAAACCCAGGATCCTTCTCCGACGGAATAGGAGCATGAGGAAAAAATAGCAAGGTGCGGAGATCTAATCTTATCAAAATTGTACTTACCAAAATGGTAGAAATCCCCTTCCTCACTTCACTGTCTCACCGCCTTATTGAACCTATATAATGTAAGCTCTCTCTACAAGGAGAGACATCTACGTTGACATCACATTCAAACCTCTACACTCCTCTTTACACTCACGGCTCCTCTCTCCCAAAGCATTGTAACACTCCCGAAGTATATTCTCCTGACAACTTTTACTCATCAATAAAGATCTCTGGCCACCGCTGCCGTTCCCGAGAATTGAGTAGGTCACACAGACTGAATCACTATAAATCTTCATGTTGACTCCAAATTTACTGTTTTATCATTAATTGCTGTTTTACTGCCTATTAATTGCACCTATACACATTCTTGACTGTTGATTTTGCGCAATACCGATCTGTGCATCATCAATAAACATTGTTAATTATGAAGTTTATGAATGTATCACGATTTTTTGTAAATGATAAATGCTAATGAATATATATATATGACTATTCGAAATAACCACCATTAATCAGTTAGAACCAGAAGACACAATTCATGCCTTCCCATTCATGAACAGACAAAAAAAATTCAAATTCATAACTTGTGGGAAATTCAAATCTGAAGCAATGCGAATTTTTTGAATTCTAATGGGCAAAAAATCAAAATCAAGTAAAAATTAAACACTCATTTAGTTAACGAATTTTATTAAAAAAAATAAGATTGAATCTAAATCACACCTGAGCTTGACTAAAATCAAGGCGGATGGCATGTGCGTACAATTAAACCCTAGCACCTCTAGGTCCACTCATCCACAAAAATGGGGTGCCCCTTTGGACTCAACCTTTAGAGTAAAATTGGGGTATATATGTTCACCATAGTTTCCTTGTTTAACCAATATTGGATTGATGTCAAATTTCACATGTCTCAATTTTTATTTTCACATTCAACATGAATTATTTTGAAACCTATTTTTTCATTTACCTTTTATTCGATTCGAACAAATAAATATATTGTATTATTCTTCCCACGGAAAATAAGTCAAACCCACAATAAATTACTCAAAGATAATTAGTAGGTCTCAATTTAATTTAAAATCAAAATAAAAAAAAAAACTTACACCTAAAAACTGTTATTGTCTAACACATGCTACCCTAGTGACCCAGCTGTCCTAAACATCATATGGACAATTGGACATTCATCTCAAATATTTCACAATTACAAAAAGACAAATTGCTGGAAAAAAAAATTCACACTAGGACCCAATATGAGGCTATAATTGGCCATATGTACCCCTGATGTACTTCCATGTACTAAGTCACATAAACAACCCCATCTGTTTCATAAATGACTTTTATATATATGGTGCTCATCTTTAACTCTTACTTAAATTTTAACTCAATTTTAAATTTGAATAAAAATTAATTAAAAATAATATATATTTACTTAAGCTCATACCAAAAAAAAAAAAAGCTAAATTTTTTATTTAAATTAAAAAAAACTCAAATCTTTACTCAAGCCTATAATGGTTAGATTTTATCTTTCTTTAAAGACCAAATGATCATATTTTACTTTTCTTTAAATTTTAGTTTATCTTTATTTAAATTTAAAATTTTCTATTAAAGTGTTTTATATCAAATCAAATTATTTATTTAAATATTGGCTCAAATTTAATTTTTAAAAAAATTGAGTCAAGGTAGAAAATTTTCTTAGGATTATAAAAATCAATTAAAAAATCATGAGTTCGAATTTTGACAATTTTTTGAGGTCAAGTCATCTCTCATGAATATCATAATCCTGGTGTGGATGGTCTGTTTTTTACCAGATTGCGGAAAAAATTTATCGAAGTGCGCATAAACTAGTATCGATACTCTGAACCGTTAAACCACAAAAATAAAAAATAAAAAAAATTTTGGGACAAATCCAGTCATACTCCACTGCAGCACAAAACGTTGAGACCCCACAAAAGCACTGTTACATAATGGTCCAAAAAATATTGTTCTTTTACTTCTTATTTATTTTTTTTACATACTTTTTTTTTTGGTTCTTTTTCTTTAACTAAGAGGTCCAAGCTGAAATGATCAAAACTAAGTTATAATTGCTAGATGTGTCCTTATTTTTTGAGTTTTTATATATTTTGACTTGGTCAGTAAAGTAGAATGGTTATTTTATTTCTACTCCAACTATTAATTTGACAGGGGATCTTTCTGCCATTTCACAATGATTAGGAGTCGTCGTGGTATTTTACAAAAACTAAGGTATGTAGTTACAAACATGCACTGTCTAAAGGATTGTACTTTTAAAGTTTCAGCGAGCATTGCAAAAATGGTGCATTTAAACTATAGGAAGTAGCTCAAATGGGAAAAAATTTAATNACATCATATGGACAATTGGACATTCATCTCAAATATTTCACAATTACAAAAAGACAAATTGCTGGAAAAAAAAATTCACACTAGGACCCAATATGAGGCTATAATTGGCCATATGTACCCCTGATGTACTTCCATGTACTAAGTCACATAAACAACCCCATCTGTTTCATAAATGACTTTTATATATATGGTGCTCATCTTTAACTCTTACTTAAATTTTAACTCAATTTTAAATTTGAATAAAAATTAATTAAAAATAATATATATTTACTTAAGCTCATACCAAAAAAAAAAAAAGCTAAATTTTTTATTTAAATTAAAAAAAACTCAAATCTTTACTCAAGCCTATAATGGTTAGATTTTATCTTTCTTTAAAGACCAAATGATCATATTTTACTTTTCTTTAAATTTTAGTTTATCTTTATTTAAATTTAAAATTTTCTATTAAAGTGTTTTATATCAAATCAAATTATTTATTTAAATATTGGCTCAAATTTAATTTTTAAAAAAATTGAGTCAAGGTAGAAAATTTTCTTAGGATTATAAAAATCAATTAAAAAATCATGAGTTCGAATTTTGACAATTTTTTGAGGTCAAGTCATCTCTCATGAATATCATAATCCTGGTGTGGATGGTCTGTTTTTTACCAGATTGCGGAAAAAATTTATCGAAGTGCGCATAAACTAGTATCGATACTCTGAACCGTTAAACCACAAAAATAAAAAATAAAAAAAATTTTGGGACAAATCCAGTCATACTCCACTGCAGCACAAAACGTTGAGACCCCACAAAAGCACTGTTACATAATGGTCCAAAAAATATTGTTCTTTTACTTCTTATTTATTTTTTTTACATACTTTTTTTTTTGGTTCTTTTTCTTTAACTAAGAGGTCCAAGCTGAAATGATCAAAACTAAGTTATAATTGCTAGATGTGTCCTTATTTTTTGAGTTTTTATATATTTTGACTTGGTCAGTAAAGTAGAATGGTTATTTTATTTCTACTCCAACTATTAATTTGACAGGGGATCTTTCTGCCATTTCACAATGATTAGGAGTCGTCGTGGTATTTTACAAAAACTAAGGTATGTAGTTACAAACATGCACTGTCTAAAGGATTGTACTTTTAAAGTTTCAGCGAGCATTGCAAAAATGGTGCATTTAAACTATAGGAAGTAGCTCAAATGGGAAAAAATTTAATAATGTAATATATATCTTAACGTTGTAAGTTCGAGTTACGGTAGATCCGATAGATTTTTTTATATATTATACTTGAAATCCCTCCCTCCCCTCCCGAAGAAACTAAAAAATTCAAAGTTGAGAAGGAGCCTTCCTTAGGTGGGAACTCTTAATAAGGCTCATAAACGTCCCGATGTTTCAAATAAAAGAAAGCACTGAGAGAAAGCATTTATATCTTTCTTTGGCTTATTAAACTATTAAATGGCTATACGAAATGAAAGATCGATATACATAATTTGCGGGTGATTGTGTACATTTGGAGACGAAACAAAATCTTTGGAGTTCATAATACTTGAAAAAAAGGAGCCTTTAAGAGCTACATGATTGTTACACAAAACTGAAAATAACTTTCGAGTTTCAAAAGCAATTTTAGGAATAAATGTGTTTGATTCTTTGCTGAGAGACCTGCCTTGCAATGTGGTGCCTCCTAAAAGGAGGGGGTTATGGAATGATCCTTAAAGAATTTATTCCTATTATCAATCAGGTATGGATTTTATTCGATTCTTTAGACTAAAGTTGGTGAACAATAATATTCGAAAAGGATGTGTTGGATTCATGAATTACTTTGTTTTATACTTATCTTGAGTTTCAACTTGCTCCACAGTGCAAAATTAGTCATTCAAGTTTCATTGAATTTCTTTTACTTTCAGAAGTGTAGATATATTAACTTTAAGCAACCCCTCATCCATATTTCTATCGTTTTTCCAATCAAAAGTATTTTTTTTTCTTTTTCTTTTTCAAAAATCCCTTCGTATTATAATTCAGGAGATACATTGACGGAACCACGTGTAGCCAAGGGGGGGCATGGTCCCCTCAAGTTCTCCGAAAAAACTCCTACATATGGGATAATTCAAAAAACCCATCGAACCATGCATAACATTTTCGCTACTACGAATACATCAAGGATCGGGGTCTAGTGGGAAAGGTATTGTGGGGTAGATGTATATTTTTATGTTTTTTTGGAACGTTAGATTATACTTTGAAATTATACCGGAACAGTTGGGTTATTTGGTAAAAATAGAGTAAATTGTGCTATAATCCTAGTTTCTTCCTTGGGAGGGAATTTTATTTGGAAGGCACCTCGATTCCATGTCGTTATGTGTGGAGGAAGATGGCCTCTCGCCACTAGCCTGAACCCACATATTTCAAGTTTTCGGCTTCTTCATATTGAAGGCAGTTGTTTGGGTACATATGAGTGATTAGATGGACAAATAACGGTATCACTTGATTTCGACAGTCTGATTTAACTTATTCAACTTTGTGAATTAATATACTCACCGAACATTATAAAATAAGGACACTTGTTTCAAATCTCATGTGAAAGCTCTACTAATCATGTTGGGATTGTCTCTTGATTAGAAGAATTGATTATAGTGTGATCAAAACATCATAAATTAGAAGGTAGCTTCTTTTTGAAGTTAATGAACAAAGATAACAAGGTCATTTACCTAGAGACAAAAACACTAGAAAATTGTCTTGTTACTCTCACTATATATGTAATGACAATCTTTTGGAGTAAAGAACCTCTAAATCAAGAATACATAAACAAGATTTTACTAGTAGGACACTTTTGTGCCATTTCTATATGTAGAGAAAGTTAAGCAAGGACTGCATAGATGCTCCTTTATTACATTATATAGAGCTTTGTGCAAAACAAGAAAATTCTTTTCCTTGATGCCCTTCTCCTCTCCACCCCTTCTTTTTCTAATGGAATAAAGCTAACATGTAAAGGGTCTTGACCCAAAGTGTGAAAATATATTCCAATGTATACATATACATGAAAGTGAGCTCCGGTCAGCCGACCTGTACTGCTAAAGAAAAAAGTGTTATGGAGATGAATGTCGTACAAGATACTATCATTGCTGCTTGGTCAATTAGACAGCCAATTTGTAATCACAAGAAGCCAATTGGAAAAGCAAAATGAGGTACCGTAATGAAAATCACAACTTTTCTAAATGTTAAAAAAGTTAACAATTCTTAAGATTGGGGGATTGATCTCAAATAATCCTGTTTTGTAATAACATGCCAGATTAAGTTATAACTCCGATCTTATTTTGTAAAAAATTGGGTACGGTATTAGAAGAAAACTCTACGGTGCTATTGTTGAATCCAAATATATATATATATGGAGAGAGAGAGAGACACAGAGAGAGAGGGGAGAGAAATAATTTATGGGAATTAAAAATTTGCACTTGAACATGCAGGAACATGGAGTACAGATGTTTTCCAAACCCAGTGCAAGGAATTTCTTCACAAAGGAGACAAATGTCAAAGCATTTTGGTCAAGGTTTGTTAAAAGACGTTTGATTATAAGAATCCAATTGCAATATGAGAACGCAAATCGAGATAAATGGCCGCTTACACTGCAATATGGCACGTAATCTCTCCCTTATACTCTCTCACTCATGTTCATATAGATTAGGGAGTGGAAGTTTTATTATAATGTTCTTGAAATTTGTTTCTTTGCATTGGAATGATTTGAGAACACAGGACAGGTCATTCGAATTACTGTTTTGCCTCATTACTTTTGCAGGTGGAACTAATAATTAAACCCTGATTCCACCGGCCATTTTGTCCATGACTAATTTGTTTAAGAACTCAAGAGGTTAGTTTAGTGGTAGTTCAATTATATTATAAATTTTTTATTATAGGTGTAAGTTAAGAGTTCGAATATCCCACGAAACTTAATTTTTTAGGGCCACCGCCCATAGATTTACCCTTTTGTGTGGAGAAACGGCTTTGTGCAAGGTCCAATATTAGTCCGATAGATGAGCGGAGAATACCATGGTGATCTACTAGGACAGTTGAGATATAAAAAAAAAAAATTTGTTTGAGATTGGTGTTTTTTGGCAGGGAGATCCAGATCCATTACTAATAGAACAAATTATACTTTAACATCCCTAATCACAAATTTAATTTCACATTGCCCCTCTAACCACTTGAATTGATTTTACACTACCTTGAATGCAAATATCCTCTATTTTTTGGATAGTTAATGTTCTTGTGTCGAGGTAATATAAAATTAATAATATAATTGAAAGTATAATGTGAAATCATTATAGTTAAGAGAAAAATATGAAAAAAAAAGAAGAAGATTATAGTTGAGAGAGTCCAAGTGTAGTTTGTCCTTGCAATTATTACTGTACCTAACACTCATTTCTTTTAGAGAATTTTGTGTACAGAAGAGTACAAACTTATTTTTAATTATCAATATGATATTGGGTATTATTTACCTCAAGATAAATGGTATTAATCATTATGAATAGGTGACCCCCACACCATAGCCAGTTTTCACTTTTGTAATGCTCTGACCGCCGGGGGTGGGGGGTTCTGTTCATTGAAATTCTTATGATTGCGTCCTTGTGCCACCGAAGGAATTGGTTGTTTTCTTGAGTGGGAGGAATCATCGGCGGACAACGTCGGTAGGTAGGTGGATTCTCTGACTATGCACAAGTTGATTTTTTTATAAAAAAATTTATGATCACATGACAAGCACATGTCACGGCTCTGTTAGAAATTTGGACGAAGGTTAAGAAAATGACCAATTACACACAGATTGAAAAAGATAGGGGCTAAATTGATAAAATTAAAACATGAGGAACCAAAATGACAAAGAACGCATATTTTGGGGACCAATAGTGTTGAAAAACCTAATACAAAACCATCTAAACTATTTATTGGAGTCTCGTGCCTTGACCTTTTTTTTTTTTTATTGAAAAAACCCATTGAAATAATGATATGAATTATTACCACAGAAAAACTAACAAAGCAAAAGCCACTCAACATAGAACCAGATAAATTAAACTAATCTTTTTATTAGAATATTATGTCCTCATCTTTCTGCATGGTCCTAGATAACAGGTTGTGAGCTGAATCAAGTGGAATCCCTTTCTGCAAGGAAATTTTCTCTGCTACTTGCTCTTGTGCAAATTGCTTGGCAGCTGCAAGCTGTCTCTCAATCTCCCTCTTCTTGTAACCCTGTATCTTTTTCAGCCTAAAAAAATCCTCTCTTTCCAACTCGTCTAGCTCCCCCTTGATGTAACTTATCGTGTTTTCTAACCTTGGCTTCACAACATTCTCCAGGGCATTGACCCTACAATTTGTGGTCTTGATAGCTTCATTGAGTGTCAAGAATGATGTCTGAAGAGAAGCAAGCTCGACAAGAACCTCAATGGACTTCACATAAGCAGCACGACAAGCTTGAACCTGTTGGCCACCTCTCGCCAATCCAGTCAGGTTATTCTTTGTCTCACCTTCAGTGAAATATTCAAACTTGGGAAGCTTCACGCCTGCAACATTCTCTTGGCGGGATCGAACCTTAAGGGAGGCATTCTGAACATTTTCAAGGACAATGTGCTTGATGTTTTCGCCAGCAACATATTTGGATTCAGTAAGGGCAAAGGATGATGTTTTCATGATATCTCCCATTGATTCTTTAGTTGAGACAATCTTCTTAAGAATCTATGGAACTGCATAGTTAAAGTGTCACTCTTCTTCTTGAGAAGGGCATGGCCTCTTGTTGCACCACCAAGGCGAGCTTTCACAACTCCAAGCATTGTAACCGTGGGAACAACGTTCAAGCGCTGACTTTGGCCGGACATCTTGTCAAATATTTAAGCTGAAAAGAAAACAGCAACCAAAATGTCATTTATGTATAAGAAGAATACCGAACATATTGGGATTCTGCAACAGAAAGATCAATAACTTCCAAATTCATGGTATCAGTATCGTGTTGTTGCATAGAATTAAAATATACACCACACCCTATAGAAACTCCTGACTAACTTCTCCTAATGATGAACACGAAAATATACTTCTTCGAAAAGTAACCTCACAGTCTTCAATAAGAAGCTCCATGATCTATATATCTTTAATCAGAAGGTTATACCCTTCCACTTGGATAACACTATTTCTGTCAGGGATATATAAACAAAGACTTCCAAGACAGTCTAAAAATTTCAAAAGCTTAATTCCAAACTTCCCCAATTTCATTAGCACTGCAAGAATCTTCACAAACTTCTCACACTCCAGCATCTGAACCATAATGATATATGTTTTTGGATATAAACCCCTACAAATAAATCTACACATACCTCTTGACCTAACCAAGGAGATTTTGTGACGTTGTCAAAGCACAATAAGCAGGCATTGCAGATGGAAAAGAGAACTGATAACCAGATAAAAGAGATCAAGGCAATAGAGCATTCACATTGTTGAAGTGAAGTTCATACCGACATGATAAGTTAAGATCTACCCATGAGGGTTGAATACAAAAGTGGACTCTTCAAGGCCCTAAAGTCAAGAAATGCAGATTATGCTGGACATAGAGCAGAGTAGTCAACCATAACGAGACCAGCCATTCAGCCTTAAAGGGAGATATCAAGAATCAACCAGCCAGGTTTTTTTTTTTCCCGGGAAGAGTGAGTGTTTTATTCCAAAAAAGCACATCAATACATACACCAGGTATATACCCCAAGTAACAAAAAACAGATTTGGCGCCAGTACTAACTGCTCATAGAAAAATTAGACACAAATCTGGGAAGCCGAAAAAATTACTAACTAGTGCTTATTGTCTGACAAACAAGCACTAGAACCTCTATGGAGGGGTCAGATTACCAGAAAAAAAAAACCCAGCTATTCCTAGGCTGCAAAAAAAGTTGCAATGCAAGAAGACTCGATATGCATTTAGTTTGCCAACCAGCCAGTGTGACTCATGTGAATAAGCATCTAGTGATCCAACTTGCCAAAGCAGGGCACTAAATTCCTCAAAAAGAATATTCATAAAGATTCAAGACACTATCAACAAAATGTACCACTTCATAAGAAAAACTTGGACTTAAAAGGGTATAAATCCAAGTCTGAACACAGTGTGTGCATGCCCTCCTACAGCATTTACCTTTTGGGTGGGTTAGAGCACAATTCAATATATTAAACTGTGGCTGCATTCCACCATCGTACTGTCATGTAGATGTGCTGAACTGAACACCCATGGCCAATCAAGACAAATGATGCGTCTCGAGATACTACAGCTACCAACCTTATATCCAGAAAGCTAGCAGTTTAACCAACAAAATATGCAAGCCAATTTCCTTTCATCTAGAGTTCTAATAACCTTTGATAATTCATCAGTCACTCAATATAGCATAGAGAACATAACTGATGTACTCAAAACAATGACAGCAACCAAGAACTAGAACCAGATGTATAATTTTCTCGCTAAAGCCTGGTAATCCTCTTCAAAACTATTTTCTCTTGAAAAATGAAGAGAAAACAAAAAACATAGCACAACCTTGGCTTTTCAGAACACAGCATACAAAAAACACATTTCAGGTGGTCGTATCCATGGTTCAAAATCCTAGAATCGGCCATCAACTTGGAGGATGTTGACACATCTCAGTCGTGGTATCACCGGATGATATCAGACAATCCACAAGAAATGTTACATAGGAAAAGAAATTGATCATGACGAGAGATTCAAGTCATAGCGCGACCTCATGGAACAATATCAACTAATTCGGTGACAATATCTTGGATGATTTTGGTTGACTCAAAGACATCTTGAATGTTTCCGTTGAATCCCACGAGACTCGGGTTTTCACAGACGTAAAATGACATCAGATTGAAAGGTGCCGAATCAGATATGACTCTGTCAAGTCGTGTTGATATTGATCAATACTTTGAACTATAGTTGTATCAAAGTTTATTCCCATAGGTACCAAAAACAAAGACTAAGAGGGAGGATCCTGTAACAATCAAACATATTGCATTCAACAGATGTAGAAATAGGAAATTCAAACATACCATATTATGGAGAAGAAAATATCCTTTATAGATCAAAGGTTAAATTTCAGTTTCCATCCAAGTAAACAAAACAAAAACACCATCAACATTTTGCCACATAACAAGGGGAATTCTAGCGATTACACAAGAATTAAGAAAAGAAAGCTCCGAAAGGGGGGAAAAGATCGGGACATTTCCAATGCAATTCAATGTCTCGTTCACAATATTAGATCTTCAGAATTTCTCATTTACAGTAGGAACTCTTGAATAGAAATCCTAACCCTAGCAGAGAGAGGGTTAGCATATGAGATCTCGAATGAGAGAGCTCTTTGACTTGGGTGCTCGTGAATAGGCTGAGAAATTTCAAATGAGGAGAGTAGACTAGGCAATTGTGTGAGGTGAATGGGTTGGTGTCGTGGTTCTTGTAAAAAATAACTTAACCCGTACACGACACATTTATTAAACTAAACGGGTCCAAATTACAAACATGAATGCGACTCGCTTATTTAATAGATTACTCGACGCAAACTCTATAGACCGTTTAATAGATTCGTCATATTGGATGAATACGGGTTGACACGTGTGATTGTCAACTCATTCCTTTGATACCTGAGTCAATTATTTATTAACTTTAATTTTTTTACAAAATAAACCCTAACATTCTAAAATTTTGCATAAAACATACTTTTTCATAAATACTTCATTCAAATTAGAAAAATCTGTTAACTTGAATGATATGCCAATCCAAAAAATTAAACCACATCCATCCAATTTGTTAGAAATTCATATAACATTTTTCCTACATTTTCACATGAGCCAAATAGTGAAAAAAAAATAGAATAAATGAAGACAAAATGGGTATGGGAAGTCTTCGACATCATCAAGCCCTTCCAAGCTTAATCCAAATGAAAAACACTAGTACCATCAGCTTCACAACTCACCAAACCACGACCACTGTCAAAACCAACAACTATAGTAACACATGAGAGATCTGAGATAAGAGGGTTCAGAGATCCAAGAAAGGAGATATCTAAGAGGCATCAGGGTGAGAATTAGAAGAGAGGGAGACATAAAAATGATAGATCTGAGAGAGTCAAAATAGAGATAGATATTGGTGTGTGTGAGTGAGAGAGAGAGAGAGTGTGTGTTGAGTTAGAGAGATCTAAGGGACAGAATTTATGAGGTAAAAGGGTGAGAGATGTGAGGGAAGAGGCAGAGATTAGAGTGAGAGATCTGATCCTTGAAAAGTAGGTAGGATTTTTGCTTTATACTAAAGTTAAACGGGTTGGCGGCTAGTAAATGGATTAGAGTTTTTCACCCAAAAAAATTCGTTTATTAGACGAATTTGATGAGTCCACCATAAATCACCTAAACCCATTAAACTTAAACTCAAACTTATTAATTTCGTGTTGATTCATGTCGAGTTCTCAAGTCGTTTGAGCAATTGTCAGGCCAAAAGAGAGTCATACAAGGCCTATTTATAGGCAACCCTAAAAACTGTAATTAACCATTGATAAAAATAGTAGAAAAGACTAAAATTTTGATCTCAAATAAATAAAGCAGATCAAATAAGTCCTAAAGAAGAAAGTACTACTAAAATAAATTCCTAAACATTAATATTCAATTTATACATCATCAAATTTCTCTTCGTTCTCCATCACTTCAACTTGGTTGACAGAAACTATCTTCTAGGGAGTCACAATAGGAAAAGTACACGAAGGAATTTAGAACTGAAAAACTGTGTAGATGGAAAAACTACCCCGATTCAGGTTGGCCCTACAGTTCAGTGATGTAAATCGTATTAGGGAAGAATTAGAGATGAGAAGGGAAGAAGAAAAGAATGAGAAAAGAAAAGGGGGATGATAATAGAAAGAGAATTTTAAGAAGAATATTTAATATAAATAGTCAACAATCAAAATCTACCAAAACAAATAACATATATTTTATATACATAGGGAGACCACAAATCCTAAAAGAACTCTAAAAGAAATAAATAGTCATAATAACAATTAAACTCCTGAAAAGCAACATGACAAATAACTCCCAATTCCTGCGCCTACGCTTACTATAACAAAATATAATCTGATTCCTATTATTTCTCCCCAACGGAAAAGAACTCACCTCCGGAGAGATACGATCATGAAAATGCTCTAGAAGATTAGGGTCAAGCGGACGAAACTCCTCCTCATGAATCCATGAATAATTAGTCTCTGGACGATCTCTCCACCGAATAAGATAACAACGATATCCTCCATTCGAGGAACCCACAATCTGATCATCAAGCACATCTGCAATCTCTTCATGCAGCTGTAATGGAAACAGTGGAAGAATAGGAACTGTAGTTGATGCTGATGACAAAGCAAGTCCACCTGTAGGAACACCTACTAGCAACATAGGAGGCTCAACAACACCATGATAAGGAATTAAGTCCTCCATATTGAAAATAGGACTAATACTCATATTCGAAGGTAAGTCAAGATGATATACATTAGGTCCAAACTTACAAAGAATACAAAAAGGGCCAGTGACTCGAGCATGTAACTTTTTGAAAGAATTTTTAGGGTAACGTTCAGGACGCACACGAACTATTACATAGTCTCTCACAATAAATTCTTTATTCCTACGATGAATATCTGCAATCAATTTATAATTCTCATTACTTAATGTAATTTTTTGTTTTATGTTGGCAAGTAAGTCATGAATATGGTGGACAAAAGCTTCGACTGAGTGTGAGGGGCGTGAATCAGGAGGTAAAGGTAATAAATCAACGGGCTGTCTAGTGGAATAGCCAAAAACAATTTCAAAAGGGGATCGACCAATTATTATAGGTAAATTCAGCAATAGGTAACAACAAATCCCAAATTTTCATCTTCTCACCCACTAGACACCTAAACAAATCTCCTAAGCTACGATTGACTATCTCAGTTTGACCATCAATTTGGAGATGAAAGGCAAAGAAAAACTTAAGACTAGCTCCAAAGAGTTTTCAAAGTGTCTTCCAAAAATAACTCACAAACTTGACATTCCTATCAGACACAATGGAAATAGGCAACCCATGTAGTCGGACGACCTCTCTAAAAAATAACTTTGCTACATGTGAGACATTAGTAGACTTAGTGCAAGACTGTGCAAGGAATGAAATGGGTCATCTTAGAAAACCTATCCACGACAATTAGAATAGAATCATGATTACGGGTTGTTTTAGGCAATCCAAAGACAAAATCCATACTAAGATCTTTCCATGGTGTGTGTGGAACTGGTAATGGTGTGTACAACCCAGTGTTTTGTTTCCTAGCCTTTGCTAACTGACAAATGCAACATTGTGACATTATCCTAATAATGTCACGCCTTAAAGTGGGCTAATAAAACCTATCCTCAACAAGTGCAAATGTCTTATTCCTACCAAAGTGGCCTGTCATGTAATTCCCAAATCAAGAAATCTCTAAGTGAAGTACGGGGAATACATTAGTACGACTCTCTAAACAAATAACCATCTCTAAGGAGGAAGTCAATGTGCTCATGGGGGTTACTAGACTGAACATCCTGAAAAATAATACTACAGTCAGGACAAGAGGCATGCTCATCTCTAATCATGTCAAAACCGATCACATGGATACTCATAGTCTGTAAAACAGTAACTACGCGGTTAAGAGCATCTGCAGGCTTGTTTTCAATGCCCGTTCGGTGGTGAAGAACAAAAGTATACTCCTGAAGGAACTCAACCCACCTAACGTACCTAACACTCAATTTTCTCTAAGAATGAAGGTATTTTAATGCCTGATGATCTGAATATAACACAAACTCAAATGGCAATAGATAATACCTCCAATGGCGAAGAGCTTGTACCACAGCGTAGAACTCTTTGTCATATGTAGAATATCGTTGTTTAGCTTTATTGAGTTTTTTGCTGAAGTAAGCAATAGGATGACCCTCTTGACTCAAAACTCCACCTATCATATACCAGATGCATCACAGGCAACCTTAAACCCCTTAGAAAAATCTGGGTGTCGAAGAACGGGTGCCTCTATCATCCTATGCTTAATTTCTTGAAAGGCTTTAGTTGTAGCAAATGTCTATTGAAACTCCCCTTTTTTCATTCACTCTGTGATGGGAGCCATAACGGAACTAAACCCTTTAATAAATCATCTATAGAAGGTGGCCAAACCATGAAAACTTCGAACTTCAGAAATTATTCTTGGCACTGGCCAATCCCTAATAGCATGCATTTTCTCTGGGTGAGCTGCAATACCATGCGCAGAAATAATAAATCCAAGGAAAAACACTTGAGTTTGCATAAAGGAGCACATCTTAAGGTTCGCATTGAATTTTCCAATACGCAATGTCTGCAAAACCTGGCGAAGATGATCCAAATGCTCTTCTTTAGACTTACTATAGATCAAGACGTCATCAAAGTAAACAACCACAAATTTTCCTAGGAAAGGACGCAGTATCTGAGTCATAACCCTCATAAATGTGCTAGGTGCATTAGACAATCCAAAAGGCATGACCAACCACTCATAAAGTCCATCCTGAGTTTTAAATGCGATTTTTTATTCATCTCCTTGTCTAATTCGGATTTGATGATAACTACTGCGCAAATCAATTTTGGAGAACCAAAGTGTATCGGCCAAAAGGTCAAGCATATCTTCAAGTCTCGGTATAGAAAATCGATACTTGACTGTAATTTTGTTAATGGCACGGCTATCAACACATATTCTCCAAGAGCCATCTTTCTTAGGGGTCAACAAAGTAGGGACAACACATGGACTAAGACTATGACGAATTGACCCTTTTTGCAACAGTCCCTCTACTTGCCTTTGGAGTTCAGCACGCTCAGTGGGATTCATACGATAATGGGGAAGATTAGGCAACTGAGATCCTAGAACTAAGTCAATAACATGTTGAACATCTCTCATTGGTGGCAACTTATCGGGTAATTCCTCAGGAATCACATCATGAAACTCTCTCAATAGACTATCAACCTCAGGCAAAATATCATCTTTAGATTCCAAAGGACTTTGGACAACTTTGACAACTAGAGCTACCATTATACCAGACTCTTTTCTCTCTTTTTCAAATTCTCTATGGGCTAAGATGTGAAGGTCTTTCTTGTGAATTACTAGGGAATATGACCTATGCTTTGAAGTATTACTTTATGAGGGTTTTCGCAGGTTTTAACTTAATGGTTTTCCCCTTATGCTTAAAAACATAGGTATTTTCTCTCCCATAGTTTGTCACATCTAGATCAAAAAACCACAGGCAACCCAACAAGACATGATCGACATTCATAAGTAAGACATTACACCATATATGATCTAAATAGTCACCCATCTGAATAGGGACCAAACATCTATGCGAGACTGGTAAGGAGGTTTTGTCAACCCATGCAACTTTGTAAGGTTGTGAGTGTGTCTCAAACTTAAGCTGCAACTGAGCTACAATTGATTTAGAGATGACATTCAATGAACTTCCTCCATCAATGATGACCTTGCAAACTTGACCCCCACATCGGACTAGAGTGTGAAAAATGCTGGTGCATTTCCATGTTTCTGTGTCTGAAGGGATGGATAAGATGCATCGCATCACACTAACATGGGTGTCATCGGTCTGCCATTCTTCCTCACCCTCATCTAGTAACTCTAAGGGTTCCTTATCTAAAGGATCAACTTCTTGGTCAACATCCTCTCTGTCAAGTGAATTCCCTAATCCCTAGTCAATGGTCAAGGTACGTTGAGGACACTGTGAAGCAATATAACCCTTGCCATGACAACGGTGACACTCTAAGGAAGAACTATCCTAGTGAGAACCTGTGAGTGTAGAATCCTGACCTCTAGTGGTATTACCTCTCAAGTTGGGGTAATTGTTACCCCTGGATGTGACAGGGCCTGACTCGGTAACACCTCGAGACCGATCAAATGGGACTGACCTTGATGGTTGAGATCCTCCGGTTTGAGAAGGCATGCGACGCTGAAAGGGTGGCCTAAGGTATTGTTCAATCTCTAAGGCTTTGTAATATGCTTCCTCAACCGTTTCAGGAGAGTGTAAGTTAAGCTCTCTCTTAATCTCAGGTCATAAGACATTAATGAATTTTGTAACTGTTACCCAAAGCTCTTCCCTTATGTCACATCTTAGAAAGAGCTCTTCAAATCGAGCTAGGTAATCAGTCACACTCGAGGTCAATTGGCGCAAGTTCATCCACTTGTCCAAG